TCCCTTCCCACCCAAACAATTCTGATTCTATAAGTAATAGAAAGATGCAAAAATACATTCTGAAATATTGTCTGTCCCAAATTTGATGCTACATGAGTCCAGACCCTGTATTTCAGTGCTATACATATTGAACTCCATATTCTGTAAGTGGTGTCCCCAGTTTAAAAGGAACCATTCATACGCTTAACACCATGCATAAGTTTCTGAAGCACTGTGGACTATACTGTGGGAAAATAGCTGTATAGCAAGAAACAGGTAAAAACTAACCAGTCTTCAGAGTCTGGAAAAGTTAAAAATAATTTTCAGTGTTATCCCAAGCAGTTTATGATACAGGTAACACTTGTAATATATTTGCAAATAATCTTTTCTGTAGCAGATTCAAGCTGCTATAAACAAATACATAAATAGAACAATCATTGTAAATAAAAAATATTTTATTTCAAGCACTGTAGATTCTGTAGAGCATGTGATTTAAAAAAAAAATAAAGAACCTTTAGTTTTCCTTATCAGTGCCATTTTAGCTTATTTAGAAATTAACACCATAGTGAGTATCAATACCAAAGCCAATAACACAACTTAAATCTCATTAGAATAATTTAGAGAAGACTGAAATTATACTTAACCCTCATATTAGCAGAATACATATCATTAATTCCACAATAATGTGTGTATAAGAGAAGATACTGAAAAATAACATGCTGTCCTGAAGTAGTTTATATTTTCAAAAGAACTGTGAAATGACATCAATGACTTTTGGATTCATTTCCCTTCTGGTTCTAGGCTAAAATACCCCGTTCAAGTCCATGCCCCCTCCGTCTCTCTACGTGTTGATTACCTGCGTTCCATCAGGACCAATCTTATCCAAAGCTCCAACAGTGCTATAGAGAAAGCTAATTATTTTATTGAAATTGTCATCTCCAATACTCCATGACCCATCCACCAGGAATGCTAGGTCAGCTTTGGCGGCTTTGCACACTGAGAAAGAAAAGCAAGTATTTCTGAATTAAAGCAATGCCTCCACTCCTCACGAAATCTCATAAATCACTTCAGAAAATGCCACTGTCATAGAAAGCGCTTGGTTAATGTTAGTTAATAAACAATGCTTTAGCAAACCGACCCGCTGGCACTGACTTAGTGCAGGTGTACAACAAGCTGAACTCTGCAAGGGGTGAATGCTCTGCACCAACAGATCCTACCACAGGATATACTCCAAAGCCATGGCGGTTCTTTAAAATCCGGCTAACCATTTTTATTTAGGTTGTTAGTGAGGTCCCAGATGAATTTATAGAATCCCAGGCTCCTAGCATGACACAGTAAGCAAGATGAGAGAATCTGGACTGTGGAGGTTGCCAGTGGGAAACTAGTCCACTCAAAGTTACCCCAAGCTCTGTAGTGCAAGATGCTCACCCCTTTAGGTACCCTATTTAGGAACAACACAGGTTTTCCCTATCTCATCTTATTCCAGCATGTTCTTATGCAAAATGGCCTGCACAGCTGTATAACACCTGCTCACACGAGTTGCTCACTCTTTCATGGGAACTGGGAACCTTCAACACTCCACAGGATCCGAGTTCATTGCTTGGTGTCAGAAACAAACAGTCTCAAAGCAAAGTTATGCTTTTCAACATATTTCATCTTGAAGAAAAATGTTCATCTAAATCCAGAGAATGTGACAGGAAGATATGTACCTGTATTTCTCATTTTCTGTTGATTACTCCTTGGATAAAAACTGCTGCTGTGCAGTTTCAAAACACACACACACGGTCTTTTTTTTTCCTGTACTTAATGGATTAAATTCTCAATTACTATGCAGGAGTTTGGTCCACCGACTTCACGCTGACGAATTTGATCCTCAGTCTCCAACAATAATGCTCCCCTCATAGAAGTATTTATGAGATTTCGTACAAAACACTACATCTTCAAATGATAAACAGAAGGAAGTCTACATTTGAAGAGAGATGAGACTGAACATGACCAACACTTTCTTCATTAGAAGACATATTTTTTAAAATCATGCAGCTTTACATGTTTAATTACACTAGGATGTGTGCTTCAGCTGCAAAATATGGATGGTTTAGGTTCTGGAAAAAGAAAATCTTGCACATGTTAACCCTCCTTTATGCAAATTTCAACAATGCAATGTCATCAAATTTTTGGCTGATTAAATTTAAGCCAGCTGCCTTAACATTGGCGCTGTAGCAAATGCACAGGTGTAAAATAGTGTCAGAATCAGAAAATCATTGCATCAACACCTTAAAATTATTATAAACCCACACATACAGCACTTACCCTCTTTCGCAGGAGGGATTGTAGGTGGTGGAGGTGGTGTTGAAGGTGTTGTTGGTGGTTGAGTTGGAAATGGTACTGGCGAATAAAAGGAAGGAATATTAAAAAATGCTTAAATGCCCAACATATTTTATCTGTATTAAACACAGCATCTTCTACTCACATCCACTTTTAAAATTTATAATCCTTAATCAACTAGTCCCTATTTACTATCCCTAATCAATTGGAGAAAAATGTAGTAGAGCATGTGCATGTAATATCTTCCTCTACTGACCATCTGAAAAAGGACAGCACTATTACAAAGCAATTAACGGCTGCATTTCAGTGTGAATGATACAATGACGCAACTTAACTGCTACAGGAACTGCCTCTTTTTATGTTTCCCCAGTGTAGGAGACCATGTGGCAGCCCTGTGCTTGACCTAGTATCCATAATTCATTTTGTAAAATGTCAGCATCCTTCTTCTTTCTGACCACAACCAGTCCTTAGTCACAGAAAGTAGGTCTCTTCCCACCAGGGAAGGAAGAAGATATTAGTCCTGCAATCCACAATACAGACAGTGCAAAAGCAAGCCAGTGCCTGCACTCAGAGCAGGTCACAGCCTGCCCTGATCAAGATTTTCCTGAATTTGATGGAAGACCTTGTTATGTTTCCAGCCAGAAATGCAGTTCTAACCACAACTCTACAGGACTGTGGCTTTGCTGCCTGCAGCATATATACTTGCTGAAAACTGTCTCATCCTTCTCCTGAAAATAAGCTTCAGAATGACAGCTTCCCAGAAACCTAACTGAATTCATGGTCACGATGGCCAGCTCTGCTGAACACAAGAGCTCTATTTAGTGTCCTTCAATGCAGTCTTGGCAGAATTCTCAGAGATAACACGTCACCTTCCACAACTGTATCTGAGGAAAAGCTTCCACATTCATTCAAGGGCATTTTTCCTGATTTTTTCAATGCAAGTAGCCTAAGAAGCCATAGGTGAGAGAACATCATTCCTTTAAGTAAGGCTATACTTGTTATTTGCTCTAATATATGTTACATTTATAGACAATGGATAGACTTAGATACGACGTCAGAAAAGGCACCTATCTTTGGGAAAGATTAGTGCACACAGGATTCATTACAAACCTCATGTACACATCCAAGCTGAATCCCACTGTGACTGATGTGGGTTTTCCCACTGGCTTCAGCAAAAGAAAGGACCAGGACTCTGAAACACCTAAAAGAAACTAATGCCTAGGACCTCCATGGCTGTGCACAGACCAAGACCAGGACCAGACCCCTTTAGAAAGGGTCACAGCTGCAGTAAGGTGACTTGAAAGGCTGCTTGCTGTCTAAGCACCACAGAGGTACAGGTCACCTTGAACCTTTTTCTTCTGAGGTGATACAATAATTTGCCTGCATCACAAACCATCTTTCTCAAATGGACATGTAGGCCAAGGTGTGTTCTTCCTTACATCTTCTAACTCCCTGAACTGCAGAGCACACAAAATAGATTTCTTCAAAAAGCAGGAGAAACTTGGCTTGTTCCTCACTGCTCTGAGAAGGAGCCCTGGACAAGTGACAAGTGGAGTCATGCACCTCTGCAAGTTTTTCCTATCTGAAACCCTAAGTGTGGGAGAGTTCATTTGAAGTGGAAAGTTATTATCTACTCTGAGAGAAAGGTAACAGCACTGTGGTATATGGTAATACAATATGAGAAGGGTATCACTGAGATTAAAAACGGACTGAAAGAAAGATAAAGGTGAAATATTCCCTCTGTTCATCCTGTGTTTTGTTTTGCAATATTTTGAACTCATAAGAGCAGTCTCTTGCCTTCATAAACAGCTGTGAGGGCTTTTTCTTGCCTGTCTTGTGTTATTGAGAATAATAATAAAAAAGCAGGTTTGTTTGTTTTAAAATACATAAGCAGATTGGGTATCAAGGTCCCATTTAACTGTAAATTACTCAGACACTAGCAAAATTTTTCTAAATAACAAGAGCTGCAGGATACAGAAGTTTCTCTATTTGCTTCCTTTTTGTCGATTTTTTTCTCTAAAGTCACAGATTTTTCAGAGTATCCCCCATTGAGACATTTTATGAATGATCAGAGAGCTGAAGCACCTCTCCTACGATGAAAGGCTGAGAGAATTGGGCTTTTTCAGCCTGGAGAAGAGAAGGCTCCGGGGAGACCTCATTGCAGCCTTCCAGTACCTGAAGGGGCTACAAGGAAGCTGGGGGGGACTTTTTACAAGGGCCTGTAGTGACAGGACAAGGGGTAACGGGTTGACTCTGAAAGTGGGGAGATTTAGGTTAGATATCAGGAAGAAGTTCTTCATGGAGAGGGTGGTGAGGCACTGGAACAGGTTGCCCAGAGAAGCTGTGGATGCCCCATCCCTGGAAGTGTTCAAGGCCAGGCTGGATGAGGCTTTGAGCAACCTGGTCTAGTGGAAGGTGTCCCTGCCCATGGCAGGGGGTTTGGAACTAGATGATCTTTAAGGTCCCTTCCAACCTAAACCAGTCTGTAATTTTATGAAGAAAGCTAAACCATCCTCTCTGTTTCAGTAAGAAGTCCGATACAGTTGATGCATGTGACTTCACAAGTAATACACAGAAGTGGTGTAGGAATCCTGCATCTCTGTGGAGGAGTCACACTGTAGCTGAAAAATTAAAAGCTCAGCAAAAGGAAAACTATGTAGGAATGGCACATCTGTAGGCAAAGGGCAAAACACAAGAAGCAATCAAGCATTATTGCTGCTGGCTGAACTCTGATCTCTTTTACTCACATGTTGTCTCCATGATGCTTACGGCAGGGCCCTCTATCTCCTGAAGCTGTGTATGAACACTAATTTTATATTCAGTTCCAGGCACCAGCTCAAAGAAACAATGTCTAGGCGTCCCTCCACCAAGATTTACTTCTTGCTTTTTCCCATCTGGAATTACAAAAAAACCATTATAACGCTTCTTTACTGTTTTATTGAATAATGTAATTGAAGTCTAAATTAAGAAGGGGATATGACAGTAGATGAAGGGCAAGTGGTTGACATGAATTAATAAACTACATGCCACAATATTTCTGGAAATTCACCTCTGTGCAGAGGCCTCTGTAACATTTTATCCTTCGTATTAAGTAGGAGCTGAGGAATGTGTCAGATATCTGCAGGAAAAAAGATGGATTTCATCCCACGCACTGAAGTTAATAAAAAATCACTAACACTCTCATCAATGGACTTTGGATCTGGTCCTAAATTATCAGAGTCTAATGAGGAATTGTTGCATTGTCTAATTCTACGGGATCCTTTGTCTATGCCTCTGGATCTGAGTCTGTAATGTGCTTCGTAATTGCAAGAGAGACTGAACTAGCTATTGTATTCCAGCTTCCACTAGTAATCACTTAACAAGTTGGTCAACAGGTAGTATTTACAGTGTTCCAAAATTAATTCTGCTAAATTCTGCATTGGAAAACAGGTTGACAATGGAAAAAACCCACATACTAGAAATAGCATAAGGCACATTTTAATAATAATAATAAAACCTTCAGCACAATTCATAATCTGTAGCAGAAAGAAGTGAAATACAAGTAACTGATCTCACATTTTACAGAGTACATACAACAGATACCAGTCATTCACTGCCAAGCAGAAAACCCCTGATGCTTATCAGGAGGTGTTACACTAGTATAAAAGTAATTTTCCACTGTCGGAACGAGACACACACCCAATCTGACAATCAAAACTCTTCATGATAGATGTTAATAAGAAGCAATTGTTCACACTTTAGCTCGTTCAGCTCACATTTAGGCTCTTTTGGCTTAGTTAAAACAATTTTGGCAGTTCTATATGATGAAAGCAGAATGTTGGCTAGCTCCCAGATGAGAAGAAAATCTGTGCTGTTTTGTGCCAGCCAAGATCTCTGCTTTCTGAACAGCTCATCCATATTCCAGGCCTTAAAATAAACCATATCACCGTCCACTTGCCATTCCATGGAAAGTTCATTATTTTTTTGCAACCAAATTAGTATTGTTTTTCATGCTACCTTTGATAGAACCCATTAAATGTTATTTACTGCACTTCTCTCAAGTTATCCAAGCACTGAGTTTGTCACCATTCAAAAGATCACTGATGTCTACTGGGGATAAAGAGAGTTAGTCTGCTCAAATAGCAACTTCTTCATAACCTCTTCTGGCTACACCTGAGAACCAGTGAGACGGAAGTGGCTGTAATTCACCTTCTATGCAGCCAGTGCTCAAACCATCAAGACACCATGTGTTGCCACATAAAAATATCTCACGTTTATCCAGATAAGTAATATTACTACAGTGCATAATTAACAATTAATAGAATGAGAACAGACATGGCTGGAGACTGCTCTGACTCTGTGAGCATAGTCTGGATTCAATTAGAGCTTCTTCCCACACTTCTATCCTCCTGTCATGTCCATCCTAATCCTACAGTGTTATCACTGTTGGTTTATTTACAATCTTAGATGTATTCAGTTCATCCTTTATCCACCTTCTGCCCCTCACACCAGTGAAAAACTCAGGTAATCCCTTACCCTCTATTGATAAATAAAACTCTCTCCCATAAAAAGGACAAGTTATCAACATTTGTTTGATCTAAAAGGATAGGAATGCTACTTCTACTCCTGAAACTTTCAGTGTGAGCACAACTCTCTTCTCTCCATCATTTCTAGTATTCCAGGAGCCAGTCTACTGTACTGACTGCATACAATTTTTTAACTTACACAATTCAATTCTCTGGGTTAGCCTGTAGCTGCATATCAAATGATTTAGTAACTTAGCATCACAGATCCAGAGAGTGGTTTGGATTGGAAGGAACCTTTATAGGTCATCTAGTCCAACCCCTCTGCAATGAGCGGGGACATCTTCAATGGGATCAGGTTGCTCAGACAACTTACCCACGAGCGATTCAATAACTACCCTGTATGCAGTAGCATGTCTGTGAAGCTGCCACTGAGCACAGAGACTAGTCATGCGGACTTGATAGGAATCCAAATTTGTCACACCGAGGTACACTGAAAATTAAATTAAAAAAAAATAGATTTACACCTCTAATAGGGCATACAAAAAAAAAAAACAAAACCAAAAGAACTAGAGTGAAACACTTGTGCCAATTCATTTTTAACAAATAATTTCAAAAGCTGCTTAAAAATGTCAAGAAAATCCAAAACAGGAAAGAAAAAACAAAAGTGATACATATACATGGAGATAGGAAAAAAAAAAAACTGATAAAACTGATTAGACTTTTCATTAAGGAGATTTATATCTACTACTAGGCAAATACGTTTGTTTGATAAATAATAACATGTGCTTTATAACCCCTGTCCTGCTAACATCCAGCAGATTATTTTAAAGCCTGATACAATCTGATATAAAAGAGACTTTCACTTCAGGAAAACAATTTACACAAAACTGAGAGTGTCTTCCACATGACAATTTATTGAGGGAGCTGCACAAAGCCACAGTTATATTGAAAAACAGCCCATAGAGATCTGAACAGCATGAAATCATTCTTACAGGTTTTGGCTATGCCTGTTAGGGCATCACTGAAGCCTGTTGAGTATGAAGCGAATACTTTAACACTGTACTCCGTTCCACTGAAGAGATTTAGAATGAGAATGGTATTAATATCATCCCCTACAAAGGTCTCCAACGCAGGACCTGGAACTGCAAAAAATGAAATAAATTAGAAAGTCATTTGCTCATCCACTGAATTAGCAGGCAGTTAAATCTTAAGACACTTTTAAAATTACGTGTATGCTTAAAGTTACTGCTATTTTTTGCCTTTTTTTTTTTTTTTTTTTAACCATAGGTAAAACCAAAGACACTCCGCTCAGTCCTTGCATGGGTAACAGCCACAACACACTTGGGAAATTCAGCAATGTGATTCATTAGGACAGGGTTAGACACTGGCATCTGTTAAGAACCTTTTGTTCTGCTTCAGTGACTTACTACTGCCCTAAATAGGCAGCCAAAGATCTCCTCAGTTTGATGGTGTGCCAGGACCAACGGGGGACAGCAGATGCCAGCCAGCAATACGGTCCCTAAGGGGTTCTTATACAACAGCATCATTTAACGCTGTGCAAAAATGATAATGGAAATAGAAAAGAATAAAACTTTCCCAAATCAGAACTAATGCAGCTCTTTTGTCACCTCTCTTAGTTGTTCTGGATACATTTCAGAAACCAGGCAACCATATTGTCTTTGGACAGCATTTTAATCACTTCATGGTCACACATTTGTGTTTCGCTCTCAATAGAGGACCGTGTTTTCCCAAGAATTTGAAGGAGCTTGGGTGCCTTGTCCACGTGCAATGTGCAGGTGGGCAATGGATGCAGCACAGACAAAGTGGGCAATGAATGAAATGTCAAGTATTTTAGAGGTGTAGAATGGGAGTAAAAGTCAACGAAACCAAAACTTTATATTGTGAGAGGAAGGAAGTTGAACAATAGAACACAGAAGAGAGGAACAGGAAGAGAGCAAAGGTAATCTCAGAAATAAATAGAAAGAGTCAGGGTAAAATGACTTAAAAGGACAGACTGAAAGAGTTGTGTTTGATCAGGAAGTCTAAGGGGCAATCTTACTGCTGCCTACACCTACATAATGGGAGGTGGTAAAGGAGACAAAGACAAAATGTCTTGAGGCAAACAGGAAGATGGTGAGAGAAAACAGACAAAATTTGCAACACGTGAAATTTTTATTAGATATTAGGAAAGACAATTTCACAGTGAGTGTAGTCAAAAACTGGATCAGATGCTTAGAGACATTTTGAAATCTCCATCCTTGGAGATATTACAAACTCAACTGGACAAGGCCCAGCAAAACCTGTTCCAAGCTGGCCTTGTTTTGATCAGGGAGTTGGACCAGATGTTCTCCAGAGATCCCTTCCAACCTGCATCATTCTGTGACTATGAAACTTTCTTACTCAAAACCTGAGTCAACTAAGTTAACAGCACTTTCAAAGCTGTAACCACAACTGTTAGATTTAAGTACAAAATTCAGCAAAAGATGATGTCAAGACATTGTGCAGGCAAAAATAAATTATTAAAAAAAAAAATCAGTTTAAAAACTCACTGTTGATAGGTTTGTAGACAATCCTGTAACCCATTGTTGGTGACGGAGGGGCATCCCAACTGATACGTAATCTGTTGTACCATTCATCAGAGACACGTAAATTTCTAGGAGCAGACAGGGGTACTAAAAGGAAACCAAACTGAGCTTTTACAAGTTTATCGCATACAAGCACATGCATCAAACTCAAGACATGCACATGAAAACAGTGCCATACCCAGTACTTTCAGTTTTAGAGGTAAAATTGCCAGGATGAAAGCCTTTAATCAGATTCATCCTTGGCATTACATCAGCAGATTAATGTTGATATATTTAAGGTTATACCAAGCATTAATTACGAATTTTGTGCAACAAACAATGAATTTTCGAATGAATTCTCAACCTTGTCCCTACATTTTTTTAAAAGCATAATACAATTCAGAGATAATTATCTTTTATTTATATTGTTTCTTTCAATCCAAGTACATTAACATTTTTCATGTATAAATCAGGCTCTTGTGAACACTTAACCCTTTCAAATGGAATCAAAGGAATGATTTACAAGTGATTTAAGTGTCTGCACAAAACCCACTTCAATTTAGGCAGAAATTACGTAAATTAGGAGAATAACTCAATAAAACTGTACTATTACAACTAGCAGTGCACAATGAGGTTTTTTTTAGCAATATACAGTAGAGAGACAACTTAAACTACAGCTGAGTAATCTTTTGGTACTTGGTCAGAACCCTAGGGATAATGCAATCACTTTTAGAAAAAGTTCAGCAGCAATTCTAATGACCTCTAGGAAGTAATGATCTCACACAAAAGAAAGTCTGACAGTACAATGGTTGGTTTGATACTATCCCAGCAGGCATTGTTTACTTTATTTTCTGCATTAGTTGGCTTGTCCTTGGTGAGCCATCTATCAAGAACTTACCCGCTTTATTGCTCAACAAGTTTCTGCAAACCCACAGTATTTGAATATAAAATACAATTTGTCCATTAGAAACAACCCATTATTTAGAAATCAATGAACTGAGGTTAATATAAAGCTCGATCCATATAAGCCATGCAAAATAAGACAACATTTATACTAAAATATATTACTACAGCCAAGGAAAAGAGGCCAAAATAGTAAGCTTTTTGTCATGCAAATCCCGGCCAAAGACAAGCAGAAAGTTTGTACTTACGAGTTTTGCCAGGAGCTGAGACACTGACTCCTTCCCCGTCAGAATACATTGGAGTGATAGTAACTTTGTACTCTGTATCAGACAGCAGAGGCTGAAGCAGAAGACTGTTTTGTCTCCCAGGCACCATTACCTGGATGGTCAGAAAAACAGAAACAATCAAGCTTAATAACTAGGGCCAAAATCTTTTTATGTCATGAACTCTGATGCCCCATTCCACTAGTACTGTTGTATAGCTTGCATTTTTAAATATCGAACCCACAGCATCGGAAGTATATAGACCGGTTGGAGCAAGTCCAGAGGAGGCCACCTCTGCTCCGGGGAGACCTCATTGCAGCCTTCCAGTACCTGAAGGGGCTACAAGGAAGCTGGGGGGGGCTTTTTACAAGGGCCTGTAGTGACAGGACAAGGGGTAATGGGTTTAAATTGAAAGGGGGGAGGTTTAGATTAGATATCAGGAAGAAATTCTTCCCCGAGAGGGTGGTGAGGCACTGGACCAGGTTGTCCAGAGAAGCTGTGGATGCCCCATCCCTGGCTGTCTTCAAGGCCAGGCTGGATGAGGCTTTGAGCAACCTGGTCTAGTGGAAGGTGTCCCTGCCCATGGCAGGGGGGTTGGAACTAGATGGTCTTTAAGGTGCCTTCCAGTCCAAACCATTCTGTGACTCTATGATTCTATGATTACTTATGCTCTGTGGTAAAATAAGATAGTTAAATTATCTACCCTTTTAAGAGATTTACTAGTTATACCAAAGTAAAATAAAAAGGACAATGTGGCTATGTGATAACACAGTTTTATATTAAGCCAATGAGCCACTACAGGTCCATAAACCACTGGTACTATATGGATGGTTAGTACTTAAACAATTTTACTGTACAAACAAAATAAATCCTCCTATTGTATTTATTCTTGACATGAATATGATTGTCCAAAGCTATGCCCATTAATAAAGGTTGAGTGTTTTGCTCTCTGGGGACAGAAAAATCCCCCTTCCCTGGAAGGACAGAAAATGAACTCAGGAGATTGAGAAGCATGAACTGAGCAAGCAGGAATAAAACATGTTTGTCCCATCTGCATCTACCCTGGGGACAAGGAAATGAAGGTAGCTATTTAGGAGAGGAAGTAGGACTACACCCTGCAAATAGCAGGGGATCCCAAACTGCCACGAAACATGGAAGATCTACAGCAATCCAACCAACCAACCCACTAGAAGTAGAGAAGCTGTAGAAATCTCTCCAGGCAGTTTTGGGTGTGCTAGAAGAAATGGAATTAATACAGGTCTTTTAATACAGTTACAAGCTTTCCCCATAAGCAGCTATTTCTGAAACTCGTCAGTTGATCGCTTTGTTTTAGCCACAGCCTCAAAAACCAGTGTCATACTAGTGGTGGTAAAGGTGCCCAAGGAAAGCCTTGCAATCTTTCAACTTGTCAGTACTACTTTAATTTTGGAGAGCTTCCAAAGCCTGAGTGGGAGCTCCCTAGCACATGGAGGGGACATGATAAAAAAAGAGAAACCAATCCTATTTTTCCTGCATCGCATCAAACCTGTGGTCTGAAGTGACATTGTTGGAAGCAACAGTCCCAAGGTGCAACCTCATATTTTGGAGCTTCCCTGGCCCATGTCCACTGTGTGAGTCTATCGCCTGAGCCAGCAAGAAATTGAGAGACTTTTGATAAGCCCTTTAAACTTA